GGTTGAGGATCTTGCTTTCCTTCTCTGAAACTTTACCTTTCCGAGCATCATGTTCTTCTCCAAGGAATTACCCCTTCTAGCAACAGGCCTGAAGTATGTGAGGTGAAGCCCCATCTTAGCCTCCAACAAGCACTCTTAGCTGCACCTGCTCCAAGACATATTTGTTTGTTCTTTTGGCAGTTCATGGAAGGCTCAGTACTCTTCTCCAACACCACAACTCAAAGGCATCAATTCTTCTGTCATCCATATTCATTGTCCAGCTCTCAGATACAGGAGTGATAAGAAGGACCATCGCCTTAATCAAATGCACCTTAGTCCTGAAACTAACATCATTATTCCCCCCAAATTTGGAGAGGTTCCTAACTCCAGACTTTCTCACTGCAATACATCTCCTGATTACCTGACTGCTAGTACTAAGGTGTTGATAGTGTATCCAAGTAAGATGAAGTTGTTTACAGTTTCAATTTTTTCCCTATCATGATGTTAAGTATCAGTCCAGTGGTAAATTTTTTTTTCTTGACATTGAGAGGCAATCTATGTCCAAGCCTTTTTTTTTTTATCTCCTGCAACAGTGTTTTAAATCTTCCTCACTTTCAGCAAGTAAGATTGTATTGTTTGCATAACACAAGTTATTGATGAGTCTCCCTCTGATCCTGATGACACATGCATCTTCATAGAGTCCAACTCCTCAAGTAATTTTCTCAGCATACAGATTGAATAGGTATATACAAAGAATACAATCCCAATGCACTACCTCCTTTATTTTAAACTGTGTAGTATTCCCTGGCTCTTTTCGCACCACAGCTTTCTAATCTAGGTACAGGTTTCGCATGAGCACAATTAAGTGCTCTAGAATTTCCATTCTTCTCAATGTCAACCACGACATGTTATGATCCACACAGTCAAACACATTTGCGTAGTCAATAAAGCATACATAGGCATTCTTGTAGTATTCTTTACTTTCAGCTAGAATCCATCTAACATCAGCAATGAATGATATCCCTGGTGTCATGGCCTCTTCTAAATCCAGCTTGATCTTCTGGCAGTTGAATATTTGTGTCCCATTCTAGCCATTCTTTAATATCTTCAGCAGTATTTTGCTTACATGTGATATTAATAATATTGTTCGATAGTTTCCGCATTCAGTTGAATCACCTTTCTTGGGAATGGGAACAAATATGGATCGTTTCCAATCCATTGGCCAGTCAGCTGTCCTCCAGATCTCCTACCATAGACTGGTAAGCAGATCCTGGGCTGCATATGTTAGTTGAAACAAGTTAATTGGTATCCCATCAATACCTGGTGCCTTACTTTTTTGTCAATGCCATCCACTTCCACCTTAATTTCCATTGGCTCCTCTTCATATGGCACTACCTGAAATTTTTCAGTGTCAGTCAGATCTTTTGGGTACACTGAGTCTCCATATTTCCTCTATCTTCTTTTGATGTTTTATGAGTCATTAAATACATTACCAATAGCATCATTCAGTATTAAACTCGGGACTTAAACTTGTTTTTCAGTTCTCTCTACTTGAGAGATGCAGTGTGAGTTTTTATTTTTTTATTCTCCAATTCCAGTTCTCTGCACACTCCATTATAATACTTTGCTTTATCTTCTCTATCTGTCCATTGAAATCTTCAATTCTTTTACTTTGGCATTTTTTTCTTTGTGTTGGCTTCTCAATACTCTAGCACAATTTTCAGAGTCTCTTCTGATATCCATTTCATTTTATTATTTCACTTCCATCTTTGAAATGGCTTTTTGTTCTCTTCATGGATGATATCTTTAACATCATTCTGTAAACCATCTGTTCTTTGATCATTGGTGTTCAATACTTCAAAAACTTACTGTTTTTTTAATTGATATTTTAATGAAATTTTATAGAGAACATGGATTTCTGTTCATTTATTATTCCATATTTCCTCCCTGCCCACCCCTCCCCGCCAGTTCACATTTCTCTTTGAAAAGACAAAAACATTCTTTCATTGTTATACAATCCCCCCACTGCAGTCCACTTTAATATGAAGCTCTTATTCGGGAAGCTTGTCATGCAAATAATACCTACTCATATATTTCTTTTAAATAGTTGTCTCCCTCATCTGTTTCAATGCAGTGTTCATTATTTATCCACTCTTTTCTTAGTTTTCCCTCAACCCAAATGTCAGTCCTATTTATAACAAGAACATTATGCAATATTTGTTCTTTGTGACTGATTTCACTCAGCATAATGTTCTCCAGGATCACCCATTTTGTGTATTATTTCATGAGTTCCTTGTTTTTCAGTGCTGCATAGTATTCCATTGAATACACCACAACTTCTCTATACATTCATTTGTTGATGCCCGCTTGTGTTATTTCCAACTCTTTGCTATTGTGAAGAAAGAAGCAATAAACATGGATATGTAGATATCTGCTTGAGTGGCAGTTCTTGTTTCTTTAGGGAATAATCCCAGTAGTGGAATTGCTGGGTTAAATGGTATTTGTATTTGTAACTTTTTGAGAAAGCTCCATACTGCCTTCCATAGTGGTTGTATCATTTTCATTCCCACCAAAAGTGTTTCGGTTTCTCCACAACATCACTAGCCATTTATCCTTTACTGCTCTGTTGAATTTTGCTGTTCTTACCGGGGTGAGGTGGTATCTCATAGTTGTTTTGATTTGCATCTCTCTTAGAGTTAAGGATTTTGAACATTTCTTCATGCGTTTGTTGGTCATCTGAATGTCTTCTTTGGTGAAGTGTCTTTTCATATCCTGTGCCCATTGTGCAATTCAGTTTTTACCTTTATCTCAGCTCAAGTATTCTATAAATTCTAGATCTAAGTCCCTTATCAGACATATCATTACCAAATATTTCTTCCCAGTCTGTGGCATTCTTGTTGAATATGTTTCTGGATGTGCAAAGAGACTTGATTCTGAAAAGGTCCCATTTATCTATTTTATCCTCTCCTGATTGTAGATTTTTCAGGATGCTTGGAAAATAGTTCATGTTTTAGATTAGGGCCTCTATAGTTCTTCCAAGCTTTTATCTAATGAAAGTTTATAGTCCTTGGTTTTAGTTGTAGGTCTTGATTCACTTTGAGTTGGTTTTTGCTGGTATAAGTTGTGGGTCTTGCTTGGGTTTTCTGCAGATAATTTTCTTTCAAACATCATTTGTTTAAAAGACTGTCTTTTTCCCCCCACTTAAATGATTTCATCTTCTTATCAAGAATAAGTTGACCATAGGTAGATGGACTGCTTTCTGGGTTCTCAATTCTATTACATTGTTCTATGTGTCATTGCACCAGTACCACACTGCCATGTCCACCACAGCAGTGTAGTAGTATTTGAAATCAGGGAGTAAGATGCCTCCAACCTTGTTTCTCTTTTTGAAGGAGTGTTTTACTTATTTGGGGACTCTTTCCATTCCAAATGAAATTGGAGATTGCCTTTTCGATCTCATTGAAGAATGGAATTGGTATTTGTATTGGGATTGTATTGAACTCATTTTCACAATACTGAGTCTTCCTCTACAAGAGCAAGGTATATGCTTCCATTTCCCCAGGTCTCTTTTTGTTTCTCGTAGTAATGTTTTGTAATTTTCTTTGAATAGATCATTTGTGCTTCTAGTTAGATTTTGTTCCCAGTATTTAATCTTTTGATTAGCAATTGTGAAGGGTGTTGTTTTTCTTAGTTTCACTTATGTATTCTTGTTGTCACGGTAGAGAAAGCCAACTGATTTTTGTATGTTGATCTTATATACTACCACTTTGCTGAACTGGTCAGCTATGTCCCATAGTTTTCTTGCTGAGTCTTTAGCGTTTTCTAAGTATACTATCAATAATCTGCTTAGAGAGATAATTCTACCATCTCTTTGCCAACTTGGATACCTCTTATTTCCTCCTCTTGTCTTATTGCTAAGACTTCCAATACAATATTGAATAGGAGAGGTGATAGTGGGTATCCTTGCCTAGTTCCTGTTCTCAAAGGGAATGCCATTAAACTCTCTCCGTTGAGAACAGTGCTGTCTCTTGGGTTTGCATATATACTTTTTACTAAGTTGAGGAAATGTCCTTTTATTCCTATTTTGATGGTGTTTTAATCAGGAAATGGTGTTGGATTTTGTCAAAGTTCTTTTCCACACTAATGTATAGGTTTATGGTTCTTATTCTTTGCTTTCTTAATGTGATGAGTTACACTGATTACTTTTTTCTTAATTTTTTTCATTGATCTCATTTCACTTTATTCATAGGTTAAAAAGACAGGGATGGCAGTTCTCACAAAGTCTGAAGGCTTCGGATCTGTGTTGTATGAGTCAGAATCCAGGTCATGTTGTTAATCCCCCCCTTTTAAAAAAACAACAACAACAGTGAGGTATATTGTTGCATAACTTTGACTCATAGCAAAGATGTGACTTGAAAGACTGAGATGCGCCTGGTCCAGGTCATAGTCGGTTCCATTTCTTTCCTTTTTTTAATTTCTTTTCCTTTTTCCTTTTTTGTGTTAGTGTTTTTTCTCTTTTTTTGTTAGTTTTTCTTTCTTTCTTTTGTGTTCTTCCCATTTCTTTTCTTTCTTCTTCTTCTTTTTTTTTTTTTTTTTCTTATTGAAGAAAGAATCCCGGGGGGGAAAAGACATCATGCCAGGAGAGGTGACAGTCAGAGAAAGAAAGGAAGACCTTCAAAGAGATTAACACAGTGCTAACAACAGTCAGCTAGCAGAATTGGTGAGGACGACACAGGACAGTTCAGGTCGTTGTGAATTGTAGTTGACTCGATGATTTTTGACAACATAGAAAGGAAGCTTTCAGTCCAGTTATACCAAGCACTATGTGTCTCTGGCAAATTTTAATTCAGCCAGCCCATTTCCTCAGAAAGGGGGGGGGGCAGTGTCCTCCTGTGCTGTCTACAGCATCCGATCCCCGGGGGGAAGGCCAGCTCTGAACACAACAAATGGCTTCTGAGGTTCTAAGCTCTGGGAGGAAGAAGGGAAGAGGGTGGGGATTCCTCAACACGAGAGTTTATTTGCTAAGCCCTTGGAGAGCCAGGGTCCAAGAGCTTATTAGACACTAAGCCTGGACACTGTTGGGAATGCAGAAGAGGATGGAGGTAATAGATGTTGGAGTCCTGGCAGCAGCCAAAATGGATTATTTGATGACAGCCCAAGTGGCCTGCGTGGCATTTTTTAGGGCTGGGACAAAGGCTGAGCTGAAATGAGGGGACTCTGTGCTGTGCATAAACCAGAGGGCCAGGAGAGAAGTCATCTGGGGACGTGAACTCTGAGTCTAAATTCCTCCTGGGTGGTGGGCTGGTCTGGACTTCTTCCTCCACGGGGTGCTGTTGTTGAGCTTCTTGTTTTGGAGGTAAATACTCTTGGTCACTTTTTCGGGCTTTTGCTCTGCGATTCTTGAACCAAACCTGGACGGCCCTCGGAGGTAAACCTGTTTTCAAGGCTATGGAATTCTTGCGTTCAGAGGTGAGGTACGGGTTCATGACGAACAGCTTCTTTAATTCTTCTAGCTGTTTTCCAGAGAACATGGTTCTTCTTTCTAGGACTTTCCGGTACTGGCTTTCTTCCAGAAGAGTGGCTGGTGGGCTCTCCATGTGGATAGTAAAGTTGGCAGCTGCAACAGAGATGCTGATTATTTTTCTTATGTCGAACCATCCTTGCATACCTGTTATGAATGCCACTTATTTATGGTGAATTATTATTTTGATATATCATTGGATTCTATTGGCCAAGATTTTATTCAGGATTTTTGCATCTAGGTTTATGAGAGATATTGGCCTATAGTTTTCTATTTTGGTGGTGGCTTTACCTGGCTTTGCTGTCATGGATATGTTTGCTTCATAGAATGAGTCTGGGAGAATTCCATCTTTTTCCATTTTCTGAAATAGTTTATGTAAAATTCATGACTGTTCTTCTTTGGATATTTGATAAAATTTACTTGTAAAATCATCTGCTCCAGGGCTTTTTTAGCTGGAAGTTGTTTTATCACCTTTTCAATTTCTTCTTTTATAATGAGTCTGTTCTATTTTTCACTTTCAGTTTTTGTCAGTAAGTATGTTATATATTTCTAAGTATTTGTCCATATCCTCTAGGTTTTAATATTTGTTTTTGTATAGTTTTTCATAGTATTCTTTTGTTTTATTTTAGTTGTGATCTGTTCTTGAAAAAGTTCCATTCACAGTAAAGAAGAATGTATACTGTGGTGGGGGTTTTGGGGCAGATGCATTAGCCTATAAATATTGGTGAGATCAAGTTTGTTTATTTTATGGCTTAATTCTTCAGCATCTTTGTTAAGTTTCTTTCTGGTAGTTCTATCTTCTTGAGAGTGGTTTATTGAAGTCTCGAACTACTATATTGGTGTTTTCTATTTACTTTTTCAGTTTTGTTAATGTTTTTTTTTATATATTTTGCAGGTCTATCATTTGGTGCATAGATATTTATTATTGTTATATCTTCTTGTTCTATTGACCCTTCAAGCATTATGTAGTGACCTTTGCCCTTTGTGATGGTGTTTGCATTGAAATTTATATATCAGAGAGTTATATCGCTACTCCTGCTTTTTATTCTGGTTGTCATTTTCTTGGTATATATTTTCCTCTTCTTTTATTTTTAGAGGTATTTTTTTTCTTCACTTTTCAAATGTGTCTCTTGTAGACAGCATATTGATGGATTTTCTTTTTTTTTTATCCAATCTGCTACTCTTTTCCTCTTAAGTGGTACATTTAAACTATCCACATTCAGTGTGATTATTGAGAGCCATGGTTTTATTGCAATCATTGTGTTGTGTTCTTTTTGGTGTTGTTGCTAGTTACTGTGGTCCACCCTACTTTTTGTGGCACTTCTGTAAAATGGATGTCTCTCAGTGTTTCCTGCAATGCTGGTATTGTTTTTACAAACTCCGTTAGGTTCTGTTTTTCTGGGAATATCTTGATCTCTCCTTCATATTTGATGGACAATTTCACTGCATATAATACTCCTGGTTGCCAAATTCTTAGTGTTCTTTGAATCTTCAATATATGTCATTCCATTGTCTTCTTGCTAGCATGGTTTCTCTTAATCTTATATCCTCTCCCTTATAGGTTACTCGTTTTTGGGTTTTTTGTTTTGTTTTGTTTTCCTAGCTGCTCTCAGAATTCTCTCATTTTCTTTGGTTCTGACAAATTTGACTATGATATGCCTTGGTGTTTTTCTTTTGGGGTCTATATGGTGTTCGCTCAGCTTCTCGAATATATATTCTCACATTTCCTCTACTAATTCTTCCACAACTTTTTCGGTGTCTTTACTTGCTTTTTCCTGTTATGTGATTCTGACTATGAACATGTTCTTTCTCTTGATGGTGTCCCATGTTATTCTTAGGTTTTCTTCTTTTTCCTTTCTTTTTGATTCTGTTTTTTGTCTAGCATATAAGTGGTGAGAATTCTATACTTTATTTCACTGGTCTGTGTTTCATATTTTGAACTCTGTTCATGTGTCCCTGCAACATATTGCTAGTATCTGAAATAATGCACTTCATATTTTGAATTGTAGTTTCTTTTTTTTCCAAAGTCTCTAACTCCTCATTTGTTTTATCTACATTGTTTTGGAATTTTTTTTCAGCCCCTCCTGGGTTTTGCTTGCAGTATCCTGTAATTCTTCAAGTTTGTCTTTCACCCACTGAAAATACCCAATCATTGTTCTTTTAAATTCTCTGTCAGAAATTTCCATCAGGCTTTCTGGCTTCAGGAAATCCATTGATGCTGTGTCACTTTTTTTTTTTGGGGGGGGGCGGGTGACTTCTTGCTTTGGGCTTGTGTTGGGTGTGTAGTACCCTGCTTCTTACATGACATTGCTATGGTAGAGTTTTTCATGCCTGAGGCGACTATAAGTTCTTAATCTGAAGTTACCGCTCCAAAAGAGGGTGGCACAGCAATCCTGCCTGTATTTTACTATGAACGTCTGACCCAAGGGAAGTTTTGCTTCAGTTTGGGAGAGAAAAGACCTGTGAAAGCAGCCTCTTTTGTCAGACAACTATTGCAGCTAAGCCAGTCTAAGAAGTTCTGGGCTAAATGCAGCTAATTGACTGGATGTGAGGATGCAGAGGAGGAGCGCGCACAGGCACATGCAGAACAGGCATGCACTGGGACCTGAATAGAAAACCAGGAAGCCTTGATTTTCCCCTCGAGAACTGGATCTACCACCTCACTCAATCTCCAGCTTTTCACTCCCTCTGCTTGAACTTAAGGAGTCCCATGTGGTCTGGCAAAACAGCAATGATCCAATGTACCTCATTCAAATTCCAACTGTCCTGCTCACTCCTGGCAGGTTGCTTTCAGTGGGTAGCTCCAGGTCCACATTGCTCTGAGACAGCATTGCTCTAGGTCCCCATCACTCCCAACTCAGTTCACTCTTTTCTGAAGGTAGTGCAAATTCAATTTCTTCCTAGTGAATAGCCTTCCAAGGCAGCTGCTGATAAGACGGCCCAAACTTATTAAGATGATCTTGAAATTCAGATGAAATATATTCAGAATCACACATTGGTTTTATGGACTTATTTTCATTTTCTTTGGCCTCTGTTTGAACTTTCCTGTGAGTAATTAATGGCCTGATCCACGGTCCAGCTCTGGCATAAATTTGACTGCTGATATTCAACTTCTCCAAAGATTTATTCCACAGATATAGTCAATGTTATTTCTGTGCAGCCCATCAGGTGAGGTCCATGTGAAAAGTTGCAATTTGTGTATTTTTAGAAAGGCATTTGAAATGAATAAATCAATGAAAATACTAAATTTGATAATTCTACTTCCAGCCTCCTACGTACTACCAAGCTCATATTTTCCAACTATTACTCCTTCTATACTGTTTCCATTTTTTGCTTTCCAGTCACCAGTTATCATTAATGCATCCTGATTGCCTGTGTAGTTAGTTTTGAACTATAAGATTTGGTAAATATTTTCAATCTTTTATCTTTGGTTCTAGATCTACAGGCATATGTTGATTAATAGTCATACTAAAAGGTCTTTTTTGTGTCATTATGGCTAATATTCTATCACTCACAGCTTTGTATTTCATGATAGAACTTGAAATTGACTTTTGACTATGAATGTAACACCATTCCTCTTCTGGTTTTGATTCCCAGTATAGTATACCATATGATTCAAATATCTGATTCATATTGGTCAAAGCTAGTCCAGCTCATCTCACTAATGCCTAGTGTGTCTATGTTCATGAATTCCATTTCATTTTTTACAATTTCTAGTTTTCCAACATCCATGTTCCAATTATTAAGTAATGTTTGTCATTGCTTTTCTTCATTCCTACTGACTTCCAATTTAGGCTCTAACACTACTACTATAACTATCTGAATTCTTCACTCATCATAGGGTTTTCAAAGGCCTTTTATGTAAGAAGGGGCTGGCCGATTGTGCTTCCTAGGCTGTCTTAAACTGGGATCTCCCCCATAACCTGTCCACTTTGGGTAACCCTTGTGGAATTTGGCACACAAGTGGCATAACTTTCAGTATCACATCAACCCACAAGTTATCTCATCCCAGCAAACTGACAAATAAGTGCTATACCAATTAGAACAATGTTCTCTCCATACACAACAAACTGACAATTTAGTTTGTAACTCTAATAGCAAATCAATTTTCACACCAGGCCCAAGAGCCCACCAACTTTTAATCACAAAGACCTGTGCACCAAGTCTTAACTCGTCTAAATAAGTGGTTTCCTGCCTATACTGATTGTGAATTAAATCAAAATGATCAAACAGCTTCTACCTGATTGTTCATTAAATCAATACAACCTCCCTTCCAGAATCCAACTACTTCAAACAAGAGTTTGCCTTTGTGACTAAAAGTTGTTTGGGCCTGTGTGAAAGCCTCTTGTTTGAAAGCAGCTTGATTCAGAAAAGTTGGTAGGTTGGATTGATTTAATTAATGATCAAGTGTAAGTTGTTTCTTTGTTTTGATTTAATTAACAATAGGGTATAAGCAATTTGATAGTTTGATATCATTAACAATCAGTTGTGGCCTGGAAGCCTCTTGTTTAAACCAATTAAGGACCCAGTAGGTATACCCAACAGAGTGTGGAAACTATAGAACAACATCATTAATTTCACATGAAAGCAAGATTCTACTGAAGATTATCCAAAAACAACTGGAACAACACATCAGCAGAGAACTTCCAGAAGTCCAGGCTGGGCTTAGAAGGGGTAGTGGTACTAGGGATATTTTAGCTAATGTTAGGTGGATCTTGGCTGAAAGCAGGGAATACCATAGGAATGTACATCTGTGTTTCATTGGCTATGCAAAGGTGTTTGACTGTGTGGATCATAATTAACTGTGGCTGACTCTGAGAAGAATGACAATCCCAGAACACTTGGTCGTGCTAATGAGAAACCTATACTTGGACCAAGAGGCAGTCGTCAGAACAGAGCAAGGAAACACTGCATGGTTCAAAATTGGGAAGGGTGTACGCCAGGGATATGTCCTGTCTCCTTACCTTTTCAACCTGTATACAGAACAGATTATCTGAGAGACTGGGCTCTATGAGGAGAAATGTGGGGTCAAGATTGGTGGAAGATCTATCAACAATCTGTTATGCAGACGATACA